ATGTCTGCCTCTGCGCTGAGCCCCCGGCCCCCAGAGCGCTGCACACGGCAGCATGGCTCCAGGGGAAGGAGGAGCGTGTCTGACTGCCCATGCAGCCCTGGCCCCCAGAGTGCTGCGCGTGGCGGCAGGGCTCCAGGGCAGGGAGGAGCATGTCTGCCTCACCACGGAGCCAAACGCTGCCCCGTGGCAGCGCGCAGCCCCAGCCCCCAGAGCGCTGCACGCGGCAGCATGACTCCAGGGGAAAGGGGAGGCGGGGGAGGGGCCGGCAGCTTGCTGCGTTCGGCCAGGCACTCCGGCCTGGGAGCACGGACCTCGCGGCTTGCCACATTGGGAGAGTGGAGCCATTTGCCCACCCCTGCATTGGGGTGTGCCTGGGCACTCCCGGCACACCCTGTGTGCACGCCTGTGGACAGCAACAAGTTTTTGAGCACCACAGAGCTGTTCTTCAGGTCTGGGAAAGGAACTGCCAGCCTCACAGCAAAATGCAAGGTGGAACAGATTGTTTAGCATAAGTAGTTAGCACATATTGTAAGGGACCATTCAAGGTAAAGTGGCTTGTTTACTCCTCTGCAGTCCTAGGACGAAGGAGGGGGTTTGTAGGTTACAGATTGTTGTAATAAATCGTAAATCCACAGTCTCTCTCTTCGGTCCTTGATTTTTTGAAAGCATTGTGCAGATTTCTTTTGAGAATGAGGACATAAGTCAGCAGAGTGAGTGAACGCTTTGTGAAAAGTGTTCACCCACAGGGACGATAGGGTGTTTTTGCTGCTGGGAATTCCTTTACCAGACCTGAAGAACCTGTGGCTCAAAAGCTTGTCTCTCTCCAACAGGAGTTGGTCCAATAAAGATATTACCTCACCCACCTTGTCTCTCTAATATCCTGGAAACATTACACGACTACAACTACGCTGCATACTATCTTTTATGTAGACAATCTAATTAAAAGTAGGCTAGAGAGTGCTGTTACTGGAATGCATTGGAAAGTAGGAATAATTCAAAATTATAAATACAATTCTATTCATTTTTGTGTTTGATTAAAGTAGTTAAGTAACATTTTTTTTGCGCTAATTCACTTTGAATAGGTATCTGTGTGTATATAGTTATATTTATATTGGTCCTAATCCTGCAAGGGTTTAAGCTTATGGTGGATGCTACTATGGAAATAGTGCCATTGATTTACCATATCCTTTTAAGTGTTTGCAGAACTGGAGTCATAGCAACTTCCATAGTGGGATTAGTCTGTACTTCAGTACATATTTGGGTTTCTTTTCTTTAACATTTTTACTCTATGTATCAAAATTCTGATGACTGGACCGAGCATATTCGTAAGTTATGATAACTTTTTTTGGTGTTACAGTGCCTCTTCCCTATAAGTCATTTTGTATTACAATTATTGTACTGTAGCTCCTGTGTTAATTACAAATACTTCTATAACATAATCTTCCTTGTTTTTTTTAAGACAATCTTCAACAATCACAGACATTCTGAACAACTTAAAAACAAAGAGAAATAGATGCACATGTGTGTATGAAGTTTTGTTTTTCCTTTTGGGCCATTGATAATTGCTAGGGTATTTATTAAAAATAGAATCTCTTTTCACTTTCTGTCTCATTTGTACACTGGTATCACAATTTGTCATCAGAATGGAAGTGGTTCTAAGCTCACAAAAACCAGATTGCATCTGACGAAGTGGGTATTCACCCACGAAAGCTCATGCTCCAATACGTCTGTTAGTCTATAAGGTGCCATAGGACTCTTTGTCGCTTTTTACAGATCCAGACTAACACGGCTACCCCTCTGATTCTAAAAACCAAATTGTGGTAACAGGGTATCTGCGGGTTACTTAGAAAGGCGATCACTTGTATTATAAATATTCTGATAAAGGATGGGGGAAAGGAAAATGCAGACAGTAGGTGACAGTTTAGGGAAGCTCTGATAACCATTTTTTAAAAGTTTGCTCGAGTGCCTCCACTGTTCTTTTTAAAAGTGCACGTGTTAGGATCATCCAAGAGAGGGGGAACTGGAAGGGAATGTATATACAGGGATATGTTTTTAATTGCAACTTCCATTAGCTTCAGTAGGTGTTGTCCATGCTTAGATTTTGCCTACAGTAAGCTTATTTATAAGGGTTGTCATAGTGATTCAAATTACTAGTCATTGTGGCCTGGTATCCTGTCTGTATTATATAGTGCTGTATATCAGACTGTTGCTTCCTGGGAAGGTAAAGATCCCTACCTTCATTTACCTCTCCAAATGGGCATTGTTATGGGGGTGGAGTGGGATTCCTTCCTTCCCTCCTAACCCTCTGAGGCTATCAGTTTATTTGTTAGGGTTGCTGTCCCCTTGTACCATCAGAAAGAATACTTGTGCAGTTGCAAGTATTTTTATTATAGCGGGACTTTGGTAGTGGTATCTTTTTGATCATTTTATGGTGTTCTCCTTTACTGCAAATATTTTGCTTCACAGGTGTGCTGAGGATTCTGACTGAAATGTTTCTGCCTCATATCAACCTTTCAGAATTAGAGCAAACCTTTTTCTCAAAAGTGTTACCCAAGGTATGATGTCTTCCGTAATGTGAAGAATCAAACATCAATACAATACTAAAAACCTGGTTACTACAAGGTCTGTAGTAATTTGTATGATAGAATTCTTGTTTTGAAATCAAGCTAATGTTTGAAATACGTTCCCTTTCACTCTAAAATGGTCTCATGATTTTATATCCTGAGTCCTGCTCCTGTGATTTTTAGTGTTGGTTTCAATGGCAGGAAGAGTGGGCCAATGATGTTATGCATGATGTAGTCAATAACAAAGTGAATTTTAAAAGCCTGTTTTGAGAAAAATTGACCTATTAAAACAGATGATAAACAAATGCAGAATTACATTATTATGATTATGATCATTTATTTATTATTATAATTTGAGGGTGCTTCTTTGGCTAAATAAATTGCAAGACCAAAGTATTTGTAGCAAATAACCTATAAACCCAAATTAACCCAGGATATGGTCAATCCTGGCAACATGAAATACTCCCTATGTAGATAAATCTCTGATAATTTTCATATGACTTTACATTGTGCCTCTTCATATAACCTTGTGGTGGGTCTACCCACGTGTGACCTCTGTTTTCAGTGTGACCTCTGTTTTCATGGAACTTTGTATCAAAGCCTCATTTAGAAACTTTGCATTGCCCTTGGTATAATATTATAGCCCCTAA